GAAGGTGACATTTCAGCAAAGACTTGAAGGACATGAGGGAATGAGCAGTGCAGCTCTCTGAGGGGTAAGCAGAGAGGGTGATCACCGCAAAGGCCCTGAGATAGAAGCAGGCTTGGCCTGCTTGTGGAGCCAGTTTAGATGGAAGAAGTGAAAAAGGGTGAAAATAGTGAGAAATGAGGACAGGAAGGTAACGGGGCCCAGATGTTCCCAGTGATGGTGAACCTTTTGAGCTCAGCGTGTCAGCATTTTGAAAAACCCTAACTTAACTCTGGTGCCGTGTCACATATAGAAATTTTTTGATATTTGCAACCATAGTAAAACAAAGATTTATATTTTTGATATTTATTTTATATATTTAAATGCCATTTAAGAAAGAAAAATCAACCAAAAAAATGAGTTCGTGTCTCACCTCTGACAAGCGTGTCATAGGTTCGCCATCACTGTTCTAGGCCTTGTAGATCTTGTACTTTGAATAGAGTAGGGATCTATTGAAGAGTTTAAAACAGAGGAGGGCTGTGATCTACCTTATGTTCAAAAGGATTGCTCTTTATTCTGGTGTTGTAAATGGACTCTGAGGAGTCGGGAAGATGGGAAGTAGGGTAAGCAGTTAAGAGGCTATTGTAGTAATCCAGGTGAGAGAATGGTATTCTGGACTGGGGTGGTACCAATGGAATGGTGAAAAGGAGCCATATTTTGAATCTGTTTTGAACATGGAGCAAGTATGATTTCTGGACTGATTGGATGTGGGGGTGTGAACAAAGGAAAGCAGGCAAAGATGTCTACAAGGTTTTTGGTCTGAGCAATTGGAAAGATAGAATTGCCATTAACTGAAATGGGGGAGGCTATTAGTGGAGTGGTGGTAGGTGGGAAAACTCAAGTTCAATTTTGAGCATGTTAAGTCTATTAGTTGGAAATTTGCAAACACACACACAAAAGTCGAGAGATTAGTCCAGTGAACACCCTCACTGCTTCAACAGCTATCATATTGTATCTGTTCTTTTTTCACTCGGGTATTTAAAAACAAATGCTGGGCAACATGTTACCTATGAGTACTTTGGCATATATCTCTAACAGATCAGAACTTCTGTTTTTGTTTTTAACAAAACCACAGTATTTCAACAAGACTTGCCTGGATTTAGACAAATACAATATTGTGGTTTAAATTTTTTTTTTTTTAAATGTACACAGTCTTTATTGTGAGTCCTGATATCCAGAAACTAGGCCTACATCCAGGACCCTCAGTACAGCAGCTGGTCATTCAAGCTTCAGGGCTGGGGTCATTAAGTGGCCAGTCACTCCTGTCCAGTTTTCATATGGCCCAGAGTCATCAGGAGGCAGGAAGTGGCTGTGCCAGCACAGTTGTGGGTGGGTTCTGGGGCTGCACCTGCTCAGCGCACTGCAGGAAGTGGCGCACCTGCTCCACTGTAGCTGCCTCATTCCGCGGCAGACACTCCTTGAAGGCCTCAAAGGGCTCCGCACAGGCTTGGCAGATCTGATGGATAACTGGGTGGTTGGAGGTGCATTGAGCAATGCTCATCTTGAGGTGGTGACAGTCCCGCTGCCAGGGCTTGGTGGCCACACATTATCCATACTGGTCCACCTCCCTGCTATAGTGGCAGGCAGTGTACCTCTAGCGCCCCCTGCACGTTGAGGCAGGTGGCAGGGGAATCAGTCTGGGGGAAGCACCCACCTTTGCTGGTGTCCCAGTATTGTATTTTTTATTATATATATATTGATTTTTTTTTTTTTACAGAGAAGAAGGGAGAGGGATAGAGAGTTAGAAACATCGATGAGAGAGATCAATCAATTGCCTCCTGCACACCCCCCAGTGGGGATGTGCCCGCAACCAAGGTACATGCCCTTGACCGGAATCAAACCTGGGACCCTTCAGTCCGCAGGCCGACGCTCCGTCCACTGAGCCAAACCGGTTCGGCCCAGCATTGTATTTTTAAAAAATATATTTTTATTGATTTTTTTTAGAAATAGAGGAAAGGAGAAACATCAATATGAAAGAAACATCGACCAGTTGCCTCCTGTATACACTCAACCAGAGATCGAACCTGCATCCTGGGTATGTGCCCTGATGGGGAATTGAACCAGCAACCTTTTGGTGCACAGGACAACGCTCGACCAACTGAGCCACACCAGCCAGGGCCAGTATTGTATTTTAAAGTCTCAATTTTCCCCCTAAAAGATAATCCAGGAGGAATTACCTTATGAAAGAATTATTTTTTTAAATCCTCACCCAATATTTTCCCATTGATTTTTAGAGAGAGTGGAAGAGAGAGGGAGAGTCAGAAACATCCATGTGAGAGAAACACATCAATTGGTTGCCTCCTGCCTGAGCCCCAACCAGGGCCTAGAAAAATGAGGACAGGAACCAAGCAACCAAGGTACGTGCCTTTGACCAGAATCGAACCCAGGACACTTTGGTCCTCAGGCCAATGCTCTATCCACTGAGCCAAACTGGGTAGGTGTTTTTTCCCCCAAAGTATTCATTAAATACTAGCTTGAAATATGCTTATTTGGTACATAAACAATATAATGTAGAAAAATTAAATATACATATCCAAACTTTTTAGGCTATCGCATAAAACACTATTTAGTCACTTTATGAGGAGGCATAATAAGAAAATATGTTCCTATCCTAAAGGATTAGCATAAAATCTAAAGGATTAGAATTATGAAAACAATTTTGCATTTAGCAATCATTTCACAAAGTGCTGAGAGGATTTGGAGTGAGTGGTCTGAGTAGTGCTTGGAATTCAGAGAATGTCTGGGAGGTTTGAGGATTTGTGCCTGTGTTTGGTTTTTCGTGTTTATGAATGTATATATATGTGTTTTACCTTTCTTGGGGGGACAGGGAGCTTAAAGTTTTCAAACATACACAAGTACAGAGAATAGCAAACACCCCCATACCTTGATCCCATAGATTCAGCTGTTATCAGCGTTTTGCCACACTGGTTCTATCAATTCCTTTTTCAAGTTTGTCATTGCTATAGTTTAAAAAAACTATTTAAAATAATTTTAAATTTAAAGAAAAGTTGTAAGAATAGTACAAATAACTCCCATACCCCCTTCAACCAGATTCATTAACATTTTACCACAATTTTATATTTTTCTGAACCACTTAGAAGTTGTAAATATTATGCCCTTTTACCTTTAAATACTTAAGTGTGAATTTCTTAAGATCAAGTATATTCACTTATATAACCACGGTATAATGAACAAAATCAGGAAATGTAAAATTGTTAAACTACTATTCACTAATCTATAGCTCATGTTTGAATATTGCCAATCATTCCAATAATGTTCTTTATATGTTTTTTTCCTGGTCCAGAAAAGATCATGATTTGTGTTTGGTTGTGGTGTGTCTTTAGCCTCTAATCTAGAACCAGTCCTCATCCTTTCTTTGTCTTTTATTTGATTCTGGTTTAAATTTTTGTCAGAAAACACTACATAGTGATGATGTGTCCTTAGTACATGTAATCAGGAAGCTGATGATGTTGCTTTTTTCCATTGTTCACTTGGCTATGGTAGGCTAAGCAAATTTCTGTTGCTATAGCTTTTTAAAAATATATTTTATATTTTAGAAAATAGGTTACAGAAAAATTGAGCAGATAGGAGTAGGACAGAGTTCGCATATTAAACTCATCCTATACACAATTTCCCCTATATTAACATCTTACATTATCATGATACATTTGTTACAGTGAACCAAAATCTATATATCATTAACTAAAACCCATATGTATTTAGATTTCTTTAGTTTTTATCTAATATTCCTTTTCTGTCCCAGTTACAGTTGTCTCCTTGGGTTCCTCTGTCTATATCAGTTTCTCAGGAGTTTCTCTTTTTTTGTTGTTGTTAAACCACACCCAAGGATATTTTTACATTGATTTTTAGAGAGTGGAAGGGAAAAGGGAGGGAGGGTGAGAGAGAGTGGGAGAAAGAAGCAGAAACATTGATGTAAGAGAAACATCACTTGGCTGCCTCCTATACACGCCTGGACTGGGGAACCTAAGACCGAGGTATGTGCCCTGACTGGAAATCAAACCCACAGCCTTTTGGTATACAGGGTGATGGTCTAACCAACGAAGCCACTGGGCCAGGGCTCTTGTGTTTGTTTCTCTTTATTTCCTATAACCTGGAAATTGGAGCCAAAAGCTCGATTAGATTCAAATTCATTGTTTAATTCCTTCACAGAAATACACTACCTAAATATTACTCTGTAGTTCAAATTGCATCACATCAGTTGACATAATTTATAGCTGTCCCATCTTTCAGCATCTAAGATTGATTAAAATATACAGGTGATGGCAGACATCTTCCAGTGTAAAGTTCCATTAATTTTCTAATGATTTTAGCATCCATCAATGACTGTTGCTTAAATCAATTATTTATTAAGCATTCTTGCTCTGGTTCAGATTGTTTTCATTAAGTTAGTTTAATCTTTTATCGTCCTCCCCTGTTTTTCCTGGAGCAGACTGTTTAGAAAAGATTTCACAGTCCAGCTCTGTTTAGATCTCCAAATCCCGGAGGTCTAGGGACCTTTGAGACCGAGGGGGCATGATCTGTCTTGTTGAGGAGGTGAATTAAGGTAGTGTTTCCTACAGTTCACACTTGAAGCCCATAAAGCAGGTGGCTGTAGTTGTAACTGTGGGTGGGTTGCGGTTAAGGGAAGTTCGGTTGGAGGAAAACAGTGGATCTGGCAGTCTCTCCTTTCCTGGGGTCAAAGTCAAATACGTTTACTTGAAAGACCTACTAAGAATATTCTTTAATAAGGCCTTCGCTCTTTTATTTTAGAAGGGCGAATTAAAGCACAGCCAATGAAAGGGTCCGTACAGGTTAGGTAAAATCAGGGCAGGGAGAATCCTGGGGGGAAGGCTTTCAGGGATTTAATCTCGGAACTACACCTCCCAGAATCCCGCTCTCCGGGTCCCACCGCCCAGAAGCGACTGCGCGTGCGCGAGGCCGGTGAAGCCCTGCCCTCGCCTGCCCCACTACCCCCGAGATTCGCGCGCTTGCCTCCCTGCGGCCGGGATCGCCCCACCCAGGCCCTCGGTCTGTCCACTGGGGGCGCGCGCAGTGCGTGGCAGGCGGTAGCGGCGCTGGCGGCTGAGAACGCGGGTCGTGCGGCGGAGCGTGGTTGCTAGGGGCGCCTGAGCCCTCCTGCCTGTCCCGCAGGCCAAAGGAGGAAGCCGCGCGGAGCCGGCGCCGAGTCGGGCGAAGCGGGTCCACTAGGTGAGTGTGGCTGCGGAGCCGGAGGAACGACCCTCCGCCGGCCCTCCTCTGCCCCGGTCCCTTCACGCAGGTCCCCGGCCCCCCGGCCGCTTCCGCTCCTGCCCGCCACCTCTCCATCCCCTGGGCGGCCGGGGGCCTCGGCCTTCACCGGCCAGGACTTCGCGCCTTGCCGGAACCGGCCTCCCCCTTCGCCGCGCCCGGGACTTTAGCGGGCCCCGCCTCTGGGTACCGAACCCCGCAGCGACCCTCAGCCTAGGCCCCTGGCCGCCTCTTCCCGCCGCTCCGCGGTTTGAATTCTCCCTTGGATGTGAGCCCACGCTCCTCAAGGCTGAATTTAACACGGATCCCACCTTTTTACTTCCCCACCTTCAGTGCCTATAGAAAAAGACGCTCCTAAACTGTAGAGATTCAAACATTCTGAGGTCCTGTGGAATCTAACTCTTCATTTATCCAACCCTTCATTTAATCATTCAACAATTTAAAAGAAAAATCAGTAACTATTTAATGAGCCAGGGCTCCATGGAAAGCGCTGGGAGGATACGGTGGTCTACGAGACAGGTGTGTTCACGGAGTTTGTAGTCTAGGGAGGTTTTAATCAATTAAACAAGCATTTGCCACACTGTGTGGGGTGTGCTCCGGTAGAGCATTAGACTCATTTGGAACAGCATTATTCCCATTCTCTGGTCTTCACAGTCCTATTCTGGATTCAAGAAATGTTTTCATCCTTCCTTTATGGAGTCATCCCTCAGATAATCAGCGGTCGCCAACCTTTCGGACCTCACGGACCACCGGTTGGCAACCGCTGCCGGAGGTCCATCTTTCTTACAGCACCTGTTGATTTAGCTAATGGACAAGCTGCCCCTCCTTCTAATACTTTTCTTCATCGACACCCACCTGGTCACTAAAATCAGAAAATTAGGATCATTCCAGGCTGCTCCTTGTCTCATTCTCCCTATGTCTACTCGGCCACCAGGTTTTGTCACTCTGGAGACCAGACTAGAGATGAGGGACTTACCGTGGTTGCAGTCGGAATGGAGAAGGTTTAGAGAGAAGTTAAAGACGTTTTCTCATTGGCTCCCTGCTTCCCTGCTAAAATTCTTCATATTCAACCCATGCACTGACACTATGGTATTCCCAAACACAAATCTGATGCTATTTTCCTGTTAATTATCTGTGATTTTCCTGCAACACACTCTTCAAATGGTTTTATTCATATATTCCCAGAAGAATTTTAAAAACCATGTAATTTCTTGCACATCTTAAAGTGGAATTCAAAAATTTTTCATCACAAGTTTAAACAAGTTTCTTCTTTGTTAAGAGGAAGTAGAGCCCGGCTGGTGTGGCTCAGTGGTTGAGTGTTGACCTATGAAGCAGGAGAAGGTTATGGTTTGATTCCTGGTCAGGGCCCATGCCCTGGTTTCTGGCTTGGTCTCCAGTAGGGGGCATGCAGGAGGCAGCTGATCAGTGATTCTCTCTCATCATTGATGTTTCTATTTCTCCCTCTTCCTTCCTCTCTGAAATAAAATTAAAATTATAATTTTAATATAACTTTTAAAATTATATTAAAAAACAAAAAAATTACATTATTTTTTTTAAAAGGAAGTAGAAAATATAAATGTTTTATAAAAAGAACTAAATTTAGGGTTAACTGTAATTGGCAAAAACAGGTCATGACTTGAGTTTTAACCAGTTTATTTAACTTAGTTTTGAGAAGAAAGATAAAGGAGTTACACTTTGGACATGCTGAGTTGAGGTCCCTGCAGCACATCCACATAGAAAGGCCCAGGAGACCAGTCTGTAGGTTTGGAGCTCATGGCAGAGGTCTGGGTGATGGTAGAAAGTTAAGAATGGAAGAGGTGACCGGAACCGGTTTGGCTCAGTGGATAGAGCGTCGGCCTGCGGACTGAAAGGTCCCGGGTTTGATTCCGGTCAAGGGCATGTACCTGGGTTGCGGGCATATCCCCAGTAGGAGATGTGCAGGAGGCAGCTGATCAATGTTTCTCTCTCATCGATGTTTCTAACTCTCTATCTCTCTCCCTTCCTCTCTGTAAAAAATCAATAAAATATATTAAAAAAAAAAAAAAAAGAATGGAAGAGGTGGTTGTAGTCATGGGATGGAACTGGTTGCTGTGGGAATGTTTGTGATAATAATTGCAACTGCCATTTATTAAGTGCACTTACTGTGTTCCAGGCAAAGTGAGAAGACGGAGCTCAGAGGAACACCAAGGAAGCAGAGAATTTATAGCCAATTAAAAAATGAGTATGTAAATGAAGTCACTTGCTGAAAACTATCTAGATGCAGCCTTAACTTCAGGATCTATCTGATACTTGTGATCTTGAGTTTAGCTTTCCCACTAGATTCCTTTATGACCTTGGAATGTTCTGATTGAAGGTTCCCTGGATTTTAGCATAGGATCAGATGCTTTAATCTGTCAGTGAAGTATAGAGAAAAAAAATTCTCTTTTGGCAGAACTGGGAAGCCAGACTTGGCATTTTGAAACAAATACTGAGAGTACTAATTTCTTTTAGGCCCTGAAATACAAAGGACCTTAGGTGCCCTCCTGGATATATCATGGGCAGATAGTGGTATTCTTGACCAGAGGTGCCCAGATTTTTGGTCTCAGGACTCCTTAATGCACTTTAAGCTTTTTGAGATCTTAAATATATATATTTTAGTGTGGGATATATATCTTGACATTTACCATATTAGAAGTAGAAATATTAACTCTTTAGAAATAAGTCAATTACAGGTTAATATAAATAGCATTTTTTAAATTAAAAAAGCTGTTGTTTCAAAAGATTAGTGAGAAGTATGGCATTGTTTTTACATATATCTTTTTAGAAGACAATTGGATTTTCATATCTTTCTGCATTCATTTGGTTGGGATGTGTTGTTTGGTTGAATTATGAAGAAAATCCATCCTCACACAGATGTTTAGTTGGAAAAAGGAGTATTTCTATAGCCTTTTCAGATAATTGTGGGTATTCTTTGGTATGTCACAAAAGTTAACGAAAGGGTGGTTTGTGAAGGTTAGTTGCAATGTAGAATCTGAAATGATACTAGTGAACTTTTCATACCTTGTTACAGCAAAATCCATTGGTCTGTTTCACTTTGACCAGATCTTTACCCAGGCACGATTCTGTAACATTGTATCATAGGTATTTGGAAAATACTTATTGAGTTATGCAGATCTTCCAAATGTTGTCACATTTTACTATACAGCATTAAAAAGTCATATCACATGGTCACCATACTCATTAGGAAAATGGTTACATATTGGGAAGCTGTCAAGCTCATGGTGGCAGGTACAAGTTTGCCAAAATTCTAATTTTCTCTTGGAAGCTTAAATTTTATTATTGGCAACAAATACTGTCAGTTGTTTTCCTTGACATGACAGACTATGTTTTGTTCTCTCCCCCAGAAAATGTCTGCCAAATACCAAAGTCTGACTAACCCATCACGTGTGTGTCATTCATTCTTTCAAATAAACAGGGTTCCATGGGAGGTTTTTGCAGTCAGATGTTTGCTGAGACAACCATCATCTCCTGTCTGCACATAAGTGTTTTATATGTGCTTCTCATTTTGTCACACAGAATATTAAAAAGGCATACGTGAGGTTGAGACTTAATTTTTACTGTGTCATCAAGGACAGTTTTAGGTAAAGCTGGCAGTTACTCACAGTGTGGTGATGAAGTATGTGGTGGTAAAGGACCCAACTTGATGCCATTGTCTCAATTCCTGCTCAGACACCAGTGTTTTGACCCACCATTGCTTTTGCATCATCAGTGGAAAGACCAGCACAGTAAAAAAAGACAAACCACACCTAAGTTTTGTTATGAATATAGTTCCACTTAGCAGAACACCTGAGAGGATCTAGGGGTTCCCTCAGATTCTATGGACCATACTTTGAGGACCACTGCTCTAGAGCTTACCTCAGGAGGAGGAAAAGAGGGTACTTTCTGAAGCTGATAAAGGTCAAGGCTTCAGGGGAGCATGTCTTCTAATTATGTTATTCATTCAACTGTTTCTGTTTTTGTTTTGTTTGTTTTTTTACTTTTCAGTAATTTGTAGATTTACCTCCTTTAGCTCTAGCTGCTGTGAGCTGTATTTTCCCCTCAGGTGTTTTTTTGTTTGTTTTGTTTTTGAGAAAGAGAGAAAGATAGAAACATAGATTTGTTCCACCCGTTCATGAACTCATTGGTTGATTCTTGTATGTGCCCTGACGGGTGATTGAGCCCACAGCCTTGGCATATCGGGACAACACTCTAACCAACTGAGCTGCCTGGCCAGGGCCTTGCCCTCAGTTTTGCCAACTCCTTTTGCAGTGCTCAACTGTGTTCTGCAGAGCTACCTATCTCAACTTATGGTACTGATTTTCCCTTCTCATTAGGGCTGGGATGGTCGCCTTCCTTTAAAAAGTTCGTTGCTAAAAATAATAATAATAATAATAACAATTTCATTGTTCCTCCAACTTTCTTTAGGCTTGGGATTTATCTCATAAGATAAAATGAGTCTGGTTTTTGTACTCCTCCCCATTCTATCTGGTTCTGCATAAGTCAGTTCTATCTTGTAGCACAACTACTGAGCAATTAAAGTAATCTCATCAGAGATCTTTTGAATTGTAGACTCGGAACCATTTCTAATGTCCTGAGTTCCCCTATTGACCGAGGAAACACTTAGATGGAGGAGAAAAAGGAAACTGCAGATCCCAAGAGTCACACACCCTCCTGTAATAGAGGAGAGTGATTCAATCAGTGGCTAATGAATAATTGCTTTCTGTAGAAATAGATACCTTGTCCAAGTTGGTCTGGACCTGGTCCCTGGAGACTTGGTGATTTGAGTGAGACAGCAACCATAGATTTTCAAGCCTAGGCTGCTCATCATTCTCTCTTACTTAAGGAGAAACTTTGAGGCAGAATTACCCCACAAAGAGTGGAAGGCAGAAAGAGATAGGCAGTTTCTGAATGCTGTATAAAGATGACAAAGCAGGATGTTGAGATTCCTGAGACTGGATACTTTAGAGGGGGAGAGGCTGAAGCCAAGGAAGTCTGTCAGGATTCTACTGTGACAGTCCTGCACTTGGTGAAGGGCTGAGAGGTTAGGGATTGAGCTGAGCCAGCCATGCAAATACAAAGAAAGAGATGTTTGAGGCCATTTTATTCACTTTAGAATGCTCTGTAGTTCTTTACCCTCCTTTCTTGTCCCTTTATTCAAACTTTTAACAGCTTTGTGGAAGTATAATTGACATGGAGCATATCCATCACTCTCAAGTGAATTGTTTTTTTAACTTTGTTTTAGGGAGTCTTAGTAACTCCGTGAAGTTGTGAGAGGAGAGTTGGGCAGCATTGCTGAGGAGGAAGCCAATCTAAGGCAGTGATCTTTCCCTTCTAGCAGATTAGTTCTGCATTTGTCTGTTAGAGATACACAGGGCTTCCCTTAAAAACCTTCATGGAGTTTACGAGGCATATCTTTATATATGAAAAGAGAACAGTGGTGAAAGATAGTCTTTGCAAAGTGTCAAATTAGAGGAATCAATACACAGGTATTCATGGAGAGAGAGGGGCTTGAGCTGGGCCTGTAAAAAACGGTAAGATTCAAAAGGAAGAGGCTTATAAAGGCTTGCAGACAGCTTTGAAAGGTTTATTCTAGGAGTTGAGTGTTAAGACCAGCAGAGGATGGAGTTAAAAGGGCAGACCCTAGAGATACAGATTTCAGTTCAGTCTGTATGCTGTTGTAATAGTCCAGGTCGTGGGTGGTGGTGGAAATGAAAGGGGAAGCATATTATGAAGAAAGAATCTCATAAGTTTTGTGTCTGGTTTGGCAAAGGAAGAAGTCAGAAGTGACTTAAGTTGTCCTTTAAGGAGACTGAGATAAAGAAGGTTCCACTGAAAGAAATTAGATAAGTCAAGGGTACAGAGCTAATTTGACAAGCTGGATTGAAATGGTTGGACATGGACATGGAGAAGGTAGAGCAGATAGCTGGTGATGAGAACATGAAGCTTAAGAGAGGTCAGGTATGAAAAGTGACTATTTTCCTGAAGATAATAGTTAAAATTGTGGGAGCAGATTGGTTTGATGTGAAAGGATAAAAGAGAGACACTGGAAAATTTTGGAGGAGGCCTCAGCAGGAGGAATAGGTATTATTGAAGGTGCTGGGGGTGGCTGTGGCAGAGTTTTAAGCAGTGAATAAAGTAGCAACAAGGAGATATGGTAAGAGAGGAGCCACATACCTGTTTAATCTGAAGAGTTCCATCTTGTGGCTTTGTTATACCTATTGTAGACACATTTTTTTATTCAGCAAATATTTAAGGAACCCTGATTACATTTTCAGGGCTGGGCATATGCTGTGTGAACAAGGTCCCAGTTCTCATAGAGCGTTCATTGTGAAAGAGAAGAAGACAAATAGCAAAGGAATGTTTAAATAAAGTTTTCATTTTAAAATATAATTAATAAGGTTTTAGATAATGGAAAAATGAAACATGAGGACAAGGTCATGTGATAGGGAATAATTAGGGGTGTAGCAGTGTTGTAGAGGAAACAACAAAGACCCTAGGAACTTGCCTGGTGAGGGGGAGAGTGGCTGATGAGGTCCGAGGAAGAGTCGGGGGTCAGATTACATAGGCCTTGGAGCCATCCAATGGGTTTAAGCTACTTTTTATCAAGAGCACCATGGCCACTGTCTGGAGAATCCTATCCTATATAATAAAAGCCTAGTATGCAAATTGTCCCCTCTACTGGGAGTTTGACCACTTGCTATGACGTGTGCTGACCACCAGGGTACAATGCAGAGCATGGCACTGGCAGTGGGTGGCAGTGGAGGCACTGCCAGCCCTGATGGGCCCCGACGAGAGTGGGACTGCGGCGGGATGGTGGAGCAGGTGAACAGGCAGCGCCAGTCCAAGGCGGGTGTGAATGGGACCCGATCGCCTCCCTGATCGCCCTGCAGATGGCAACCAGTGGCGGTGGCAGGGGGTGGGGCCGCTGCCCAGCTCCCAGGCGCTGAGGGAGCCAGGCAGGGGCCCGATGACTCAGGCAGAGGGGGCGCGTAGGGGCCTGGGTGCTGCCCAGGGCCCAGAGGTCAGCTGAGACCTGCTCTTCTACTCCAGACGCTTGTGCTTCAATCGTTGGCCAGGCCTAGGGACCGCACCCGTGCACAAATTTCATGCACTGGGCCTCTTGTAGATTGTAAGAAGTGGTAAGAATAGAAGTAGGGAAACCAGCAGATGAGAGATTATAGTAATTTGGACTAAAGTAATAGCTGGAAATGAAGAAGAATAGATGGATTCAAGGACATATATTTGAAGCTGGAAGGACTTGATTGAATGAGTGGAAGTGAAGATCTCCTGAGATTAGGGTGAAGTCATTACTACAGGGCATGTTGGGAGTTTCTGTGTTGCATAAACACCTGTCTTAGGGACTTAAGTCGTTCTGCCTGGATATATTTTTTTTGTATTGAAGTCTTCTTTGTGCAATTACAGCTTATTTCCTTGTCTCTGACTCCAAAAGATTAATTGACTCTAAAAGGTTACGTGTGGAATATGGTTGATCATTCCTGTTTTTTTAAGTCCTCCACCCACTTCCCTTAACATGACTTTTTACTAAAATTTGACATTCCCATCTAATTTCAAGAAGATTAAAAGATAATGTGTTCCTTCTTGAATAACAGCAGTCATAGAGAACTCTGAGCTTCCCACACTGTCCCCTTGTTTTCTTGACTCTAGCCCTAAAGTCCTTATTTTAGCATCTAGGTTCCTGTTTTTCAGGTTGGTGCTGACAGCAGCTGCTCTCTCAGTTGAGGGCAAGATAGGACTTGTGTTTTATTGGGTAGTGAGGTTTTCACATAGAATCAGGTTTAAACAGCATTTCTTTTCTAAAAATCGGAGACTCCCCCAACACTGTGTGTTGATGGGCCCCAGAGAAAGTGCTATTAAACTTCATCTGCCAGGTGTAGTGTGTGCCTTCTTCCTTAAACTCCCCTTAAGCCATAGTTTACAAATTCACTGGCAGATTAGAGTGGAGTGTGCTGGATGGCTACTTCATCCTAAGGTGGCTGCCTCTAGTGACTACTACATTGAAAAGACTTGTGTTTTGGTGAAGCTTTTCACCAGGCATATGACCTCAGTTCAGGTGGATCGCCCAGGCAGGCCTGCTTCAGGTAATAGGACGAGGAGTGAGTTTTATTATATTGGCTTGAGTCATTCAGTGATAAAATCCATTCTTGCCAGTCTAATTTCAAAGAAAATTTGAAGTAGATTTTTCTTTTTTAACTTCTTTTATTTTGAAATTATTTCAGACCTGCAAAAAGTTGTAAATAGTACAAAAAAATCTCCTTACTTTTACCCAGAGTTATCAAATGTTAATATTTTCCACACTCACTTTATTATTCACTCTTATGTGAACTGTGAACTTTTTTTTTAATGTTTGAGAGTAATTTCCAGACATGATGCCCCTTTACATCAGAATTTCCTAGACAGTTCCTAAATATTTCCTAAAACAATGATATTCTCTTACATTGCCACAGTATGTATGATGACCAAAATCAGGAAATTAACATCGGTGTAATACCATCTACTTATATAAAAACCCTGGGTGTAACATCACAGCCAGAAGTGCGACCAACCGGAAGGAAGTCAGTCCTGCAGGGGTCATCTTGGAAATGGCTGCTCCCTCTCCCAGCTGTTTGCCGGAGGGCAAGGTTTCAGGCAGAAACCCGCCCTCAGGGCGAGGTTTCAGGCAGGAACCCACCCTCTGAGCGGAGCATGGAAGTACTGAGTCTTGGGTTGCCTTGCCAAGGGCTGCGCCCTCCCCGAGCTGTTTCCCGCGAGGCCTGAGGGAAGAACTCACCCTCGGAGCTCCAGGAGCGCCCAGCAGCAGTCAGTCCTGGGTTGCTGAGGCGGAGGCCACAGTGTGGTATAACTCTGGGTCTGGCCCAATGGGGCGTGGCCAGCCTTCAAACCAGACCCTGACAGTAGGGAGGAGGCAGCCCCATTCCTTACAGAATCTGCTGTTGGATAGCTTGCTGCCAGTGGCCTGCCAGCCAGGAACCCCATTCACCTGCACCCCGGACCTTGAGAGGAGGGAGGAGGGAGTCCCATTCCTCACGGAATCCACAGGTGGCCAGCTTGCTGTCAGGGGCCTGCCAGCTAGGAATCCTATTCGCCTGCATATCTGTATAAAGTTTTAATACATTATATTAGAGGTCGTGGTGGTACTGTTTTACCCACAGCGTCTATAGGAATTGCTGCAAATTTACTTCTCGGTGGAAGCACCTTTCATTCCCAATATAAATTACCGATTCCATTAAATGAAACTTCAATTTCTAGATTCCATATAAACAGTGAAGTTGCTAAAACTATTAAAAAGGCCCAACTTCTCATTATTGATGAATGCACCATGGCATCCAGTTATGCTATAAACGCCATAGACAGATTACTAAGAGAAATTATGAGTCTGAATGTTGTATTTTCGACCATGTCTCAGTATTGTACCGCATGCTATGTGATCGGCCTTAGTACAAATGAGTTTAAAGTACTGCAATGTTTGGGGATGTTTCAGAAAGTTGTCTCTTACAACAAATATGAGATCAGAGGATTCTGCTTATAGTGGATGGTTAGTAAAACTTGGAGATGGCAAACTTGATATCAGTTTTCATTTAGGAATGGATATTATTGAAATCCCCTGTGAAATGATTTGTAATGGGTCTATTATTGAAGTTACCTTTGGATATACTATATCTATAGATAATATTAAAATATATCTAAACATGCAATTCTTTGTCCAAAAAATGAGCATGTTCAAAAATTAAATGAAGAAATTTTAGATATACTCAATGGAGATTTTCACACATATTTGAGTGATGATTCCATTAATTCCACAGATGATGCTGAAAAGGAAAATTTTCCCATCGAATTTCTTAATAGTATTACTCCTTCATGAATGCCATGTCATAAATTAAAATTGAAAGTGGGTGCAATCATCATGCTATTGAGAAATCTCAATAGTAAATGGGGTCTTTGTAATGGTACCAGATTTATTATCAAGAGATTACAACCTAACATTATCGAAGCTGAAGTATTAACAGGATCTGCAGAGGGAGAGGTTGTTCTGATTATAAGAATTAATTTGTCCCCATCTGACACTGGCCCCCCATTTAAATTGATTTGACTACGGTTTCCATGATGCCAGCATTTGTGATGACTATTAATAAATCACAAAGACAAACTCTAGACAGAGTAGGCATATTCCTACCTGAACCCATTTTCGCACATGGTCAGTTATATCTTGCTTTCTCTCGAGTTTGAAGAGCATGTGACGTTACAGTTAAAGTTCTAAATACTTCATCACAAGGGAAATTAGTCAAGCACTCTGAAAGTGTTTTTACTCTTAATGTGGTATACAGGGAGATAGAATAAATTTAATCACTTTATCAGTCATTGGTTTGCATCGCTGTTGTTTTTCATATTATGTTTTTATCGTTTTTATATCATGCCTCTGTTGTTATATCCTTTTGTTACTGTTTATTAATAAACATATATTATCTTCATATAAATTTTACTAATTTCCTTTCATCTCTCACACTTCTATTATAGAGAAAGGGCAAATATTAAAATATCTCCACTAATTAATTCCCTTTTTAAAAAAAAATATATTTTATTGATTTTTTACAGAGAGGAAGAGAGAGAGAGAGAGAGAGTTAGAAACATCGATGAGAGAGAAACATCGATCAGCTGCCTCCTGCACACTCCCTACTGGGGATGTGCCCGCAGCCAAGGTACATGCCCTTGACTGGAATCAAACCTGGGACCCTTGAGTCCGCAGGCCGATGCTCTATCCACTGAGCCAAACCAGTTAGGGCAATTAATTCCCTTTTAATGTGCACAAATTTCGTGCACCGGGCTACTAGTCCTATATAAGAAAACCCTAATATACAAATTGGCTAAATGGCAGAACGGCCAGCAGAACAACTGGTCGCTATGGTGCACACTGACCACCAGGGGACAGATGTTCAATGCAGGAGCTGCCCCTTGGTGGTTAGTGCGCTCCCACAGGGGGAGTGCTGCTCAGCCAGAAGCTGGGCTCATGGCTGGGGAGCGCAGTGGCGGTGGCGGGAGCCTCTCCTGCCTCTGTGGCAACACTAAGGAACAGTGAGCCAAGCAATAAGGAGCAGCAAGCAGGCGGGTGGTAAGGAGCTAGGGGTACTGGACTGCGAGAGGGCACAGGCCGGGCTGAGGGACCCCTCCCCCCCATGCAAGAAATTTGTGCACTGGCCCTCTAGTCTATATATATAAAAGGCTAAGCGACCTTCTGACCGTCTGGTAGGTATGATGCACACTGACCACCAGGGGGAAGCCGCTCAATGCAGGAGCTGCCGAGGTGTGGTCACTTGGCAGCGGCGGTTCTCGGGTGGCGCACCCCAGAACCGGAGAGGAGGGAGCCCAAATCTGGGGTGCATCACCTGAAAACCACCCTCTCGCAATCTGGGACCCCTCGGGGGAAACCACTCAGGTAAAGTTGTGAATGTTGAGACAGAAAGATGTTTTTTTGGAGAGAGAGGATAGCACTCTCTGAGTAAGCATGTGAGCAGATTCTCAATGGCAGAGACTTAGAGTCCCAGCCCTTGGGACTTCATCAGTTCCAAACCTGTAGCCAGGTTTGATCACATGAGGGCAGCAGGAAGATCACTGAAAACACATTAGGAATCTAGTGTTCTTCTCTCATGGCCCCAAATGACAAGCAAGACTGACCACCCAAGAAATACTGAAGAGGGACTCTTGTTTACCCAAGGACCACTGTAGCATTGTACTTGTCTTCCTGGGACTGTAACATTCCCAATTGTTTCTCTCCCCTTCAGGCTGACAGACTTCAAGGATGCAGCTATTACTGGAGATGTGTGGCACCTTACCTGAGCCAGGCCATGAGGCCATGTTGCCATGATGTGGGCCCCTCATGGCCTCAGCAGGAACTGAATACTACAGTATTGGCCAGGGAAATAGCTTCACGAAGAGGGGTCCCTCTGGCAAAGTATCTGCCCCACCATCTGAGAAACCCTCTGAGGGCAAAGTCTGGTCTTCAGTTTCATCAGCAGGCGAAGTCAGTCTGGAAGCTGGAGAAGCACGTAGGCACCCTTTCAGCAGGATTGGACCTACACCTCTTGGGTTTCCCAAACGAGCCAGCGTATTTCTTTTGTCCCAGCACTTCATGTAGCTCTGGGACCACAGCTGCCCTTGCAGGCCACAGCAACGCCTGTTACCTGCCTTCTGTCCCGGACTTGTTCAGCAGTACCCTGCTGTACCGCCGCTTCAACCATAGGCACAAAACATATCAGCAGCTGGAGTCTTTCTGCTTACGTTCAAGACCGTCAGAAAAAAGATCTTTTTCTGTCCCTCAAAAGAGCCTCCTTGTCAGACTCACTGCCAATCAGGCCACTTCTTCCACGGTCTCCCCCATGGCCCAGCCTGTGGCATCCTCATCCATAGAGCCATACCTCACACTGGGAGCAGCTGGGGAAAACCCTTCAGGGAAGAGGCTGGCTTCTGCCATCTCAGGGAAGATCCCATCTCCACTCTCCTCCCCTTCACCCTTCTATAAGCCCATGCTAAATAACTCCACGCGGCCAAGTAGCACTAAAGTGCCTTTATCAGTGGCCACAGAGGGCCTGAAGCCATTATCCTCACCCAAGATCCAACTTGTGTCCTGGCACCATTCAGGGGGCACTGGAGACTGTGCATTCCAGCCTATTGAACACAAGGTACCCAAGAGCAATGGCATTGTCGTACATGGTGCCCTTGCCCATAGCACCCTGTCTACTCCTAGCTCCTTAGACACTTCTACCACCAGTGTTGCCTCCCCCCAGTACAACCACAGTAACTTAGTCATGAGGATAAAGCCACATCCCTGTGGCCTGAATGGCGACCCTGTTTCCCAGGCTCTGACCAAGGAGGCTCGGTTCACTGAGGCTGTGAGGCAGTTGACTGCAAGAGGCTTTGAGAAGCCGAGGCAAGGCTCCCAGTTTGAACAGTCTTGTTTTGTGAACCCGAGTTTGCAATGGGATCTCCTCAACAGGAACAGGCAGTGGAAACCTCCTGTGGTAGGCCAGCAGTTCCCCCAGGAGGGTGCCCCAGCAGACAATAGGATCCTCCCTGGAGCCTCAGACACCTTGGAGTTGGACAATACAGTCTTTTGTACCAAACGCATCAGCATTCACCTCATTGCCTCACACACCAGTGGGCTCAGCCATAGCCCTGTCTGTGGGTCTGCGGTCGACTCCCCACCACCCGGAGAAGACAAGACGCCAGTGCTGCCTTCTCCCACTCAGCCCTGTGACCTAGCAGATGTGGCCACCCACCTCTCTTCCATCCATTTGGACCAGCTTGGGAAGGAGGAGCCTGTAGAAGTCAGGGAGCTGGACTCACCTGCTAAGGATATTGGGTAAGTTGGAGGAAGTTTTTGGTTCATTTAGAGCAGTAGAATATATATATGCAAATTCGCTGACACTGGCCCTGTGTCTCTGAAGGTTGGTTTTATTTTTTAGCTGCCCTAGAGTTATGGTTTTCACTTTAGGGCAAAGGTCCGCAAGCTTCAGCTTGCAAGCCAAATCCTGCACACTGTCTGCTTTTGTAAAATTTTATTGAAATGCAGCCTCGATCATTCATTTACTACTGTATATGGCTGCTTTCCTGTTGCTATGGTAGGGTTGAGTAGTTGTGACAGACTGACAGGCTCACAAAACTGAAAATATTTACTGTCTGGTCCTTTAGAGGAAGAGTTTGCTGACTCCTGCTTTAGGTTATAACCAGGGAGAAATAAAAATTCCAAACACATGAGTTGGGGCCTGTGACTTTTCTACTTAATTCCAAACCAGATCAGGTTCTCAATCATTCTTGGAATGACAGCCATTTCAGAGTTAGGGCATACATGTACTTGGTTTCTTCTCTTAGCTCCTTGTTACTAATTTGATTCACCAAGATTTTCCTTGTTCTAAGTTTCCAGAGAGCGGTCTAGGGACTTTGAAGTCAATGACCAGACATTCATTGGCGGTGGTTTGAATGCAGAATTTTGGACTTACATGCTTGGAGGGACTTCAAAGAAGATGGAAGACAGTGCCTCTCTGCAGAATAGGGGGTGTAGGGTTGAGGAACTATGGCTAGACCTAAGCTCTGAGAGCAAGAAATAAACTGAGATTCGGGCAAGAGATAGCAGATTGGTGATCAGGGTAGAGACAAACACTGGAAGACGATGAAGGAATGAGCATCTTAACTGTGACCTCTGTTATGGAATTGGCTGGGCTGGGGCTTTGGTTCTTTCTTATAGTTCAGCTACTGACCTCCAGCCAGACCAGGTTGAGGCTGACGATCTAGAAGAAGAGCTGGTAGATGGTTTGGAAGACTGCTGCAGCAATGATGGGAATGAAGAGGAGGAGGGTGAGTAGGGGACCCTCTCACCTCCAACTAGGAATTGGTTATTACCGCTAGGGAAGGAGGCTAACAATTGTGTACCAGGTCTTTGACCCACTTTGTCACCTGCATTACTCATTCGCCTTGGGGGTCCAAGCGTGGTGGGTAGTGGCTTTTGAGGGACTTTGTTCTCTAGTCCTCCTGTCCCACCAGTCTTGCCTCTCCCTGCTGCTGTTGAGCTCAAGGAAGGCAGTACAAGGCAGCAGAGTGGTGCTCGTGACTCTGCAAGAAGGCTGAGCCAGGCTGTCTAAGGAAGAGCTGTCTAGGCTTGGTGAGTTTGTGTAGCAGCCTTTCCCATTCAGAACTTCTCTGCTTCCCCCCGCCAGGAGGCTCAGAGTGCTCCTCATTCCGTGCCGTCTCTTCCAGCGAGTCGATAGCAGTGATCTCTCGGTGAGTGTTGGGTGTATAGATCATTGATAGATGATCATTTTCTGTCTCTTTAGGAGAGGCTAAGTCCAGTACTCTTGAGAGGCAGTTAACAAAAAATTTCTGTCTTTTTATTATTAAACTTTTTAAAACTTTTATAGATTCTCATGCAGTTGTAATATATAATATATAGAGATCCCCAAAATTACTCAGTTTCCCCCTATAGTAACATTTTGCAAAGATATGGTATATTGTTGTATAACCAAGATACTAACATTAGTCAAGATACATTCCCATCACTGCAAGGACCCCTGTTACTGTTCCGAGAGCCACACCTCCTTCCCTCCTACTCCCAACCCCTCTTTAACCCTTGGCAACCACTGATTTGTTCTATAATATTGACATTTCAAGAATGTTATACAAATGGAATGATGTAGCTATTTGGGATTGGCTTTTTTTACTCAGCATATTTTCTGCACATTCACCCTGGATGTTACACATATCAATAGTTCATTCTTTTTTATTACTGAGTAGTATCCATGGTATGCATGTGCCATAGTATGTTTAACGACTTACCTGTTGAAGGCTATGTGGGTTGTTTCCAGTTTGGGGCTATTACGAATAAACCATCACATATATGTTTTTGCATGCATGTAGGTCTTTATCTCTCTGAGATAAATACCCAGTAGTGCAATTCTGGGTCATCTGGTAATTGCATGTATATGTGTGTGTGTGTGTGTGTGTGTGTGTGTGTGTATGTATGCATATATATGTATATATTTTTTAATGAGTCTCAAACATCTTTTTTTTTTTAACATTTTTTTTTAAATTTATTGCTTAAAGTATTACAAAGGGTATTACATATGTGTCCATTTTATCCCCCCGCCCTAGACAGTCCCCTAGCCTCCCCTATCCCCCAATGTCTTATGTCCACTGGTTATGCTTATATGCATGCATACAAGTCCTTTGGTTGATCTCTTACCCCCCACTCCCGCCCCCCAACCCTCGCCAGCCTTCCCGCCGTAGTTTGACAGTCTGTTCGATGCTGCTCTGCCTCTGTATCTATTTTTGTTCATCAGTTTATAATGGTCTTTATTACCCATAAATGAGTGAGATCATGTGGTATTTTTCTTTCATTGACTGGCTTATTTCACTTAGCATAATGCTCTCCAGTTTCATCCATGCTGTTGCAAATGGTAAGAATTCCTTCTTTTTTACAGCAGCATAGTATTCCATCGTGTAGATGTATCATAGTTTTCTAATCCATTCATTTGCTAATGGGCACTTAGGTTGTTTCCAGATCTTCGCTATGGTAAATTGTGCTGCTATGAACATAGGAATGCATATGTCCTTTCTGATTGGTGTTTCTGTTTTCTTGGGATATATTCCTAGAAGTGGGATCACTGGGTCAAATGGGAGTTCCATTTTTAACTTTTTGAGGAAACTCCATACTGTCTTTTTTTTTTTTTTTTTTAAGTGCCCTTGGTATTCCTAGGTAGGAAAAGCATTGGAATAGATGTTGACTTACATCTTTTTTTTTTTTTTTTTTTTTTTTTTATTATTAGTTAAGGTATTACAAATGTGTCCTCATCCCCCCCATTAACCCCCAACCTCCCCCCCACACACAAACTCATGCTCCCATCCCCCTGTTGTCCATGTCCATTGGTTTGGCTTATATACATGTATACAAGTCCTTCGGTTGATCTCATACTGTCTTCCATAGTGGCCGCACCAGTCTGCATTCCCACCAGCAGTGCACTAGTGTTCCCTTTTCTACACATCCTCTCCAGCACTTGTCATTTGTTGATTTGTTGATGATAGCCATTCTGACAGGTCTGAGATGATACCTCATTGTTGTTTTGATTTGCATCTCTCGGATGATTAGTGACTTTGAGCATGTTTTCATATGTCTCTTGGCTTTCTGAATGTCCTCTTTTGAAAAGTGTCTATTTAGGTCCTTTGCCCATTTTTTGATTGGATTGTTTATCTTCCTTTTGTTAAGTTGTATGAGTTCCCTATAAATGTTGGAGATTAAACCCTTATCGGTGATAACATTGGCAAATATGTTCTCCCATGCAGTGAGCTTTCTTATTGTTTTGCTGGTGGTTTCTTTTGCTGTGCAGAAGTTTTTTATTTTGATGTAGTCCCATTTGTTTATTTTCTCTTTAGTTTCCAATGCCCTAGGAGCTGTATTGGTGAAGAAATTGCTTCGGCATATGTCTGAGATTTTGTTGCCTTTGGATTCTTCTAGTATTTTTATGGTTTCCCGTCTTACATTTAAGTCCTTTATCCATTTTGAGTTTATTTTTGTGTATGGTGTAAGTTGGTGGTCTAGTTTCATTTTTTTGCATGTATCTGTCCAATTTTCCCAACATCATTTATTGACGAGACTATCTTGACTTCATTGTATGTTCTTGCCTCCTTTGTCAAATATTAATTGAGCATATTGGTTTGGGCCGATTTCTGGGCTCTCATTAAAATTTTCTAAGGTTTAAAAGATTAATGTTTTACATATTGTGCCTATTTCTGTTATACTGCACAATAACAGGTAGAATGGCTGTTTATAAACTAAAAATTAATCTTAAATAGTAATATTTGTGGATTCTATGAGCTCAGTATAGAGAGTAATCTATTCTGTCTATTTTCAGTGCTGTTTAAAGAAATGGACTGAGTCTGTCACTTTGTACCTAATAGATAGTTGAGATAGATATTCACTGTTCTGAGACCCCTTGACATAGCCTTGGCCAAGCCATTGTTGAACAAACATAGGGATCCCATGGCCCACTGCCCCAGATTCCCAGACCTGCATTGCTATCTTATTACATAATTTGGTGTCAAATCATTTCCCAGGTGGAGGAGAGCATTAATCAACCATGTTTATCTTCAGAGAAGCCTAAATATAAAATGAGTTAGAAGTATCACTATTTCTTTCCTTTTTGTTGCTTTTCCCCTTTTTAAATTATCCATATCATTCTTTTTATCTCATTTATTTCTCTTTGTCTTAGTGTAGCTTATTCCTCTACTAGCTGCCACCCAAACTCATTACCTGCTCTCAGAACCACTCTTTTTTATTTATTTTATTTTTATTGATTTCAGAGAGGAAGAGAGAGAAAGGGAGAAAGAGATAGAAACATCAATGATGAGAGAGAATCATTGATTGGCTGCCTCCTGCATGCCCCCTACTTGGGATCAAGCTGGCAACCTGGGCATGTGCCCTTGGCCGGACGCAAACCCGAGGTCCTTCAACCCGCAGACTAACGCTCTATCCACTGAGCCAAACCAGCTAGGGCCAGAACCACACTTTTCAGGGATTTCCCCAACCTGTAGCTTGTCACAGGAAATTTTAGAGCTGTATCACAGAATGAAGTATCAAAAGCCTTGTCTTCAGGTGACATTTAAAGGTGTGGCTATATATAGGTTAGCACCTTATTGATATTTGCAAAATAACTATTGAGCACTTATAGAAGTACAATTAAAAGACAGCACTCCCAAAGAAATTATATGTAGTAGTAACAATACTTCAGGGCTGTGGCTTTCCCTTTCTGTACCACATGTCTGTTTCTCTTCTTAGGGGCTGCAATGAGGCTCTGACCAAACCTCTTTCCAATGAGAAAGTTGTCCGGCCAGCCCTTATCTACAGTCTCTTTCCCAATGTGCCTCCTACCATCTATTTTGGCACTCGAGAAGAGAAAGGTAAACCTGGCCAAGTGTGTGTAAGCCCAGAAGAGCCCCAGGAGAAAGGTGCTAACAAAGTTGGGAGGAGGTGGCAAAAGAATTGGAGGGGCTTTCCAGAATGGTTCTTATGGTGCTTGGTCCCCCACCTGGTTCACCGGTCCAATATGCAGACCTTTTTCTTGTCTGTCCTTGAGCTGATCCTCAGCCCCATGATCTCATGCATTGTTCTTGCCCTTTAACCTGTTTCTTTCCCCTTTCAACCTCTCCTCCTTTCTGTGCTTCTCATTCCTGTGCAGTCCCCCCTCTTCCCCACTGAAACTCTGATCAGAAACTGTATTTCGTGACTTACCTACCCAGAAAAGTTTGAGCAATAATACCGTCTTTCCTCTTCTAACCATGATTCTCCTGCTCTTCTCCATCCCCCCACCCCCACTTCTCTCCCAGTGGAGAAACTTCCCTGGGAACAAAGGAAGCTGCTGCGGTGGAAGATGAGCACAGTGACCCCCAACATTGTCAGACAGACCATTGGACGGTCCCACTTCAAAGTCAGCAAGAGTGAGTCACTTGCCTTATTCTGAATCTGTCCTCGGCCCCAACAGATGGGCTCTGGGAAGAAGGGAGCCCTGGGTACTTCCTCCTATGTGGGGATTCTGTCCTGAAGTTGCCAGTCTCATAGGACATAGCTTTGAACTCCTTCTGGGCTGGAACCTATTCCTCAAAACTGGAAGACAGAGATTGTTCTACCTGTGACCCCAGGGCCTCATGTAGGATAGCCCCATGGTAACTCTTAGAAAATAGTGTCTAGGAGCTATATTCCCAGCCCCAGTGGCATCCCTGGGGATCTCTCTGCTCTAGGGACTGACTCCCTGATGTGTCTTCTATAGAAAATGATGACTGGCTGGGCTGCTGGGGTCACCACATGAAGTCTTCTAGTTTCCGATCTCTTCGGGGGCACCAGAAGGTAGGAGCCCTTTCTGAGGTGCTCTGCAGGCGTTTGGACTGGGCAGGAGGAGATTGGTAGTGGGGGAAGAGTTGGATGACACAGAGAAGTCAGGAAGGCTTATAGAGGAGTGGAGAAAGTACAGGAGAGGGTGCAGTGTGACCCTAGCAGATCACACACATTTAGCAGTTCAGCTGCAGTGACTTGGGCAGTCACAGCCTCTCAAAGACATTATTCTCTAATGTGTCTAGAGATGCAACATCTGTTTTCAGTTTATTATGTTTCCCCTATAACCACTGTTTTCAGTTTATTGTTTCCAATGTAACCACTTTGCCTCCCTTCCTCCAAGCTGAATATGTATAAAGAGGACTCTGGTCTCATATTGAAATGAATGAGTCCCTTGCCCCACCCTTATTGAAGGCTAGGTACTTTCTTATCTTTGTATATAGGGTGTCATGGAAAAAGACTTAATAACTTTTTCTTTGCACTTAAGGTGGATATTATGTCTGCCTTAATTGCTATTATATATCATGAACTGTCAACTCCTGAAAGGCACTAAATTTTGTTGTTTTGTCTTTTAATCATTTTTTGGTGAGTGCTTGGCAGCTGAATTCTTGAGGACCATGAGATGGTGAAAAGAAGATAGAATAGGAGCTTAAAAAGTTGCTAAGGAAGTTGGAATGGGAGAGTGAGTCCTGCCATCTTCCTCGTGATCTTACCTGGGCCCTCTCCCTGGGCGCTCACCCTTTGTCCTTTCTATAGCTAAACCACTTCCCAGGATCATTCCAAATTGGGCGAAAGGACCGGCTGTGGCGGAACCTATCCCGCATGCAAAACTGCTTTGGCAAGAAGGAGTTCAGTTTCTTCCCCCAATCCTTCATCCTGCCCCAGGATGCCAAGCTCCTGCGCAAAGCCTGGGAGAGCAGCAGCCGCCAAAAGTGGATTGTTAAACCAGTGAGTGGGTCACAGTGGGGGAGTAGGCCATGGCCTGAGATTAGGAACAACAGAGTATTGGCCATGAGCAAATCTCATCTCCTATGCACTTGACTTCTAGCCAGCATCAGCTCGGGGCATTGGCATCCAGGTCATTCACAAATGGAGTCAGCTCCCCAAGAGAAGGCCCCTTCTGGTACAGAGGTGAGTCTGCCTGCAGCTCAGATCCCCCTTCCCATTTTCTCATTTCCTCAGCTTGGAGGTTCCCTTTTTTTCATGTTCTTCTGTCCTTTGTCCTCCTAGCCAAAGACTGTCCTCAGTCAACTGTTTTAGTCTTTATCTCAGGGACTGTTGGCTGGCTTTTGTCATGGCTCAATTACCCACTGAGCCCTACTTCATCTATCATGTTCCTGAAGTTGGCCTTTCTATACGTAGGTATCTACACAAACCCTACCTCATCAGTGGCAGCAAATTTGATCTGCGAATCTATGTTTACGTCACCTGCTATGATCCTCTACGGATTTACCTCTTTTCAGATGGACTCGTCCGCTTTGCCAGTTGCAAGTATGTGCTAGTGGTGAAGTGTCACCTTAACAGGTCTGGGGATTTGCTTTCCTGAGAGGAAGGGAAACTGGAGGACACCCAACAGAAAAATAACAAATGTTTTGGTAGTTTTTGTTAGCAAAGGAGAATGTGAGGTATATTTAGGAAAACCTAGTCTTCCTTTCTTCCTCTGTATCTGCTTTGGACACTTCTGGTCACCAAATATATGGGGGCTTTTCCCCACACCAAGCAAATCTCTGCAATACCAGCTAGGTGTCCCACAATGTAACTCAATTCTGACATCATCTTCCTGATGTTAGCATCAGATCCCACAGGTTAAGAGCTCAGCTTCATGCCGAAACCGGTTTGGCTCAGTGGATAGAGCGTCGGCCTGCGGACTGAAGGGTCCCAGGTTCGGTTCCGGTCAAGGGCATGTACCTGGGTTGCGGGCATATCCCCAGTGGGGAGTGTGCAGGAGGCAGCTGATCGATGTTTCTCTCTCATTGATGTTTCTAACTCTCTATCTCTCTCCCTTCCTCTCTGTAAAAAAATCAATAAAATATATTAAAAAAAAAAAGAGCTCAGCTTCACAAGGCTTCCCACTGCTCACTTCAGATGCCAGTCACAACTCCATATTGCCACATGTGCTTCTGACCCATTGGCTATAAATCAGGTTCCCATGACCTCTCCTAGGGTTCTGTTAATTTGGTCGAGCAGCTCACAGAACTCAGTTTACTTATGTTCACTGATTTCTTATGAAAGAATAGGATAAAAAATATAGATGAACATCCAGGTGGAAGAGATGTGTAGGCTAGGAGCTTTCTTTCCTCTTCTGGGGGCACCATTCTCCCTACTCCTCCATATGTTCACCTACCCAGAAGCTCTCTGAACCCTATACTTTTGGGGTTTTATGGAGACTTTATCACATAGGCATGATGGATCATACTCATCCATTTTCAGCCTATCTCCCATCTTAAAAGAATGGGGAGGCCAGGCTGAAAATTCCAAGCTTCTAATCATGGCTTATTCTTTCTGGTCACCAGCTTTATCCAAGAGCCCACCCCAAAGCTCTTCATTAGAATAAAACTCACTTTTATCACCTAGGAGTTCACAAAGGTTTCAGGAGTCCTGTGTCAGGAACTGGGCCAAAGACCAATATTAGGACAAAAGATGCTTAATGCTCTTATCACTTAGGATTTACAAGGGTTTTAGGAACTGTGTGTCAGAAAATTGGGGGCAAAGATTATAAATCACAATATCATATAAGGAGGTTCTCTACTTCAGTGAATCTGGGGAAGGTCTTCCTGCAGGACTGAGGTGGGATAAAGGAGAGGATTTTAGTTTGCTGTTCTAGAAACCTTACCACCAGACATACTTCTGAGGCTCTTGTGCATCTGAAAAGATCTGTCCACTTGTCCTTTATCTCCTCAGGATATGGTAAATATTTGAGCCATTGTCTGATTGCTATCTCCTCTTCTTACCTCTGCCTTTCTCCTCCTTTCAGGTATTCCCCTTCCATGAAGAGCCTTGGTAACAAGTTCATGCACCTGACCAACTACAGTGTCAATAAAAAGAATGCTGAGTACCAGGCCAATGCAGATGAAACGGCCTGCCAGGGCCACAAATGGTACCGAGGCAGTGTCTCTGTCAATGGAAACCTAGAGGAGCACAGGGTTCTGGGGTTTGGGGAGGTTCAAGGAGATGATGAATGGAAGATTAATGTAAGACCCAAGATATTAAAACACTTGGCAATTCAGAATTGGTCTCTTTGCATCCAAGCTCAACTCTGTCTTAATTCAAAACATCAAAAGAAGAGATAGGAAGAAAATACCGTTGTGCTTCTTGTTCCTTTTTCTTTCTCTTCATCATTCAGTTCATAGAATATAATCCCTAATACTTGTACTCCCTTCCCCATGTTGCAGGGCACTGAAAGCTTTGTGGAACTACCTGAGCCAGAAAGGAGTCAATAGTGATGCCATATGGGAGAAGATAAAGGATGTTGTTGTCAAAACCATCATCTCGTGAGTCACACTATCATCTGGTGTGGGGCCTGCCACCAAAGCCCCTCTTTTCTCATGGGTTTTACACTGCCGTGCCCCAGACTTTGTGCTGTGCTGTTTTAGTTTCTAAGGGAGTAGGAAGGAGTGGATAGAATTAAATTCTGCTCTTCTATGAAATCCATCCCCAGAAGCTGGCCCCATATCAGAGGCCTCTTGAGAGCTGCTTTTTCTGGCTTACTTCTGCTCTCCCGTCTTTGGGCCACTCCATTGGCAGGGCAGCTCTGGGTAAGGCCTCCCTTCTCCCTATGACCAGGTCAGAACCCTACGTGACCAGCCTGCTGAAGATGTATGTGCGGCGGCCCTATAGTTGCCACGAGCTCTTTGGTTTTGACATCATGCTGGATGAGAACCTTAAGCCCTGGGTCCTGGAGGTCAACATTTCCCCAAGGTAGGTGGTATTGTCAGGGCACTCACAGCAGAACCCTTTCTTTATGCTTATGATCCTATTTCCACTCCAATCTTGCTGACTTTGGGAAGACCTTTCCTTCATTAGAATTTGTGTTTTCCCTTCGGCATCTGTTTGTTTGCTCATTACTCATTCTTTGCCATTATTTCAGGGTTCTTTGAGGATGGAGAGGGGTTGTTAAAATTTTTTTTTAATATATTTTTATTGATTTCAGAGAGAAAAGAAGAGGGAGAGAGAGTTGGAAACATCAATGATGAGAGAGAATCATTGATTGACTGCCTCCTGTATGCCCCAAACTGGGGATTGAGCCCGGAATCCAGGCATGTGCCCTTGACTGGAATTGAACCCAGTTCCCTTCAATCCGACGCTCTCACTGAGCCAAACTGGCTAGGACAGGGGCTGTTAAAATTTGTTCTTTTGAACTTGCTCCCGCCACTTGCTTTTCCCTAACAAATGAAGGTCATGGGCAAGAACCTCCCTGACTAAGGTTATTCACTGTCTGTGGGGCAGGAAGACCCCTATCATTGTGCTTATGAGTTTGAATGTCAGAGCCCTTTTATCCTGGGGAAGCCAGGGAGTAAATGGGGCTAGCACTCACCTGGACATACAATTGGAAACAGTTTTACCACTCTTTCCAACCTTTCCTTTAAGCCTCCACTCTAACTCTCCATTGGACATCAGCATCAAAGGCCAAATGATCCGTGACCTTCTGAACCTGGCAGGCTTTGTTCTGCCCAACGCAGAGGACATTTCCAGCTCCAGCTGCTCCAGCAGCTCCACCAGGTCAGCCTCCTTGCTTGTCTGCGGCTCAGCTGGCAGCATGAACAGCCCCACTGTGAATCTGAGAAGGAATAATGTCAGGGTGCTCAACCTGCCGGGTCTCCTTTGCTGCTTGATCTGCCCCTACAGTTATCCACACACCTCTGCCATGTCTGTGCCCCTAAAAGCAAGTTTAGTTATACTGCTCACCTGTTCAGGAATCTCCATAGGGCCTGGGGACTCAGCTTTCAACTCCTCACATGGGCAGTCAAGGCCCCAGCCTCCGTTTCCCAGGCACCCCTCCCTTTACTCCTCTTCTGGTTTCCATGTTCTGACAAACCAGACCACTCAGAGAACCTCAAGGTTGGAAGGATCCTTAAAGATCAGTTAATCAATCCAGTCTCCTCTCTGCAACATTTGTTGCTTCTCACTGTTTCCCCATAGTGTCCCCTCCTTTGCTCATAGGGTTTCTTCCTCTTAAAATTCCCCTCAGCTAGACTTCCCTGTTTCAACTTCACCCATCCATCAAAGCCTAACTCAGGGCAACATCTTCATGAAGCCTGCTCTTGGAACCACTCTCGCGGGAAGGGAGCCAGTATTTAGCCAGGACCTGCTTTATGTAAGGAAGAAACTATAACTCATCCCCACAGCAGCCCCATGAGGCTGGTATTGGTGTCTTCAGTTTACAGAAGAGAAAGTTGAAAATCACCAGAATTAAGTAGCCCATCTAAGGTTATCCAGCTACAAAGAGGTAGAGCTGGAATTCAATTCCTAAATTGCCAGTAACAAAACTTGCTTTCCTTACCATACCTTAAGAGACTCTTCTTGGGCTCTGTGCTGTAGTTGTCATTTGACATCTGCCATCCTGTGAGCTCCTTGGAGGCCATCTTTGTGTCTCTCGGTGGTAATTGTAGTAATGTGGGTGATGAGACCAAGGTACAGGGAGGTCAAGTATTTGTCAAGGATCACATAGCCAGTAGTGCTGAGCTGGGTATTTAGTAAGTGTTTACTAAATTAAACTAAACTGAGTATACAGTAATTATTCCAGGGTCTTTTTTTACTATTGAAATACAACTAGAAAGGACACTTTGTACTCCTTACTTTTTTTTGTTTTGTTTTGGTTAATCCTCACCTGAGGAAATTTTACAGAGTGTGGGAGGGAGGGAATGTAGGGAGGATGAGAGAGAGAGAAACATTGACACAAGAGACACATCAATTGGTTGTTTCCTCCATGTGCCCCCACCAGAGCTGGGGATCAAATCTGCAGCTCAGGCTGCAACCCAGGCTCATGTCCTTGACTGGAAATCAAGCCCGAGACCCTTCGGTGCATGGACCGATGCTCTCACTGAGCCACACCAGCAGGCCATACTACTTACATTTTTCCATGGTACTTGCTCTTTGACTCTCAGACAGTCTGCTCGAATGGGGTGCATTGCAGACTAATCTACTCAATTAACATCTGTCCGTACGTCTTTGTCTTTTCTTGAAAAGGGTGCCTTCCTGGGCTGGACCCTCTCTCCACATGTCCTCAGAATGTGAAGCTGCTGACCTTACCCTTTCTCCTTTTCTGCCCCCTGCCTTAGCCTGCCCACCTCCCCCAGGAACAAATGTCAAATGGCCCCAGAGCAAATCACTGCACAGAAGTTGAAGAAAGCCTATTACCTGACCCAGAAAATTCCTGATCAGGTAGGAGATTACCTCCCACCCCCCAACCCCAGTGCCAGCAGAATGCTTCCCTACTCAAACATTTGGAACCAGGTTTTATTCTGTCTAGGGCAGGGTTTCCTAGTCTAGGTCCACAACCTCCTTTGTGTGCAGAGATATGTTGGCATGTACATCATTCGGGAGTTGATGGCCTTTATCATGTGTTCAAAAACCACTGCCCTTGGCAGTATTCTGTCCTAGCCCACCCTTGTCCTCAGAGCTGTAGACCCTTTGGGTTTCGTTCCCTGAGGTGCAGTGAGCCCTTGGAAGGCTTGGCTTTCTCAGAGCAGGTTGAGGGAGCTGGATGGAAGAGTGCCAGACATAAGGCTATTGCCAAATCTGAGTTGCTGGATTCTGATATTGATCCCACCCAACAAATCACTTAACTTCTGTGCCCCAGTGGTTCCCCTCACCCTGACCAAGAATATATTCATCTCCCAGCTAAGCTCAGTAGACTTTGGAACAGATGAGTTCCAGAGCTGGCTCACCAGGCTGCCTTGGTGGTCCCCTGAGAGTCCTGGGGTCCCAGAGTTGTTCTCCCTGACCCCTGGCTTCTTGATTCTCTGTTTCTATTTTCTGTCATACTCTCCTCCTCCCTGTTCCTTGGGTCATAGGATTTCTATGCATCTGTGCTGGATGTCCTGACACCAGATGACGTTCGGGTTTTGGTCGAGATGGAAGACGAGTTTTCCCGCCGGGGTCAATTTGAACGAATTTTTCCTTCCCGAATTTCTTCTCGCTATCTCCGCTTTTTTGAGCAGCCACGTTATTTCAACATTCTCACCACCCAGTGGGAACAGAAGTACCATGGCAACAAGCTCAAAGGTGATGTGTTCTCCCTGCCCATAGGAGGCCATGTTTACTAGTAGTGAGAGATTAAATCCCTGTAGACCAAGAAATGGGCCTCCCTGGCAAGAAGATTGGCCAATTGATTCCACCTCTTAAATCCCACCCCTACTCATCTTGTCCTAGGAGTAGATCTGCTTCGGAGTTGGTGCTACAAGGGGTTCCACACAGGAGCCATCACTGAGTCTGCTCCAGTGGTAAGTGATACCATTGGGAGGGAGGGGTCAGCTCCATCTCAGAGTCCTCCTTCCTCTGCGTGAAGAGTGCAGTGTAGGTTGGGTGGAGCTCCAGACCCTCCCACTTCTCCCTAGGCCCTCCCTTTCTGTCTCATGGCCCTTCCTTTTCAAAGGAATAATTGCTTCTAGGATTCCCTGGGTGCCTATCTTTCAAGGATCAAAAAGTGCTTTGTAGCCTCAACTTTTTGTCTCAATAGGGAGAAAACCAAGACTTTTTCCCATGTGGGCCCATGTATGAAGGATAGGGAAGGGGAGAAGCCCATGGGCATCACTCAGAGGCAGAGGTTCGAGAGAGTGCCAAGACCTGGAACATTTTAGCCTCATTGTTTCCTTTGCTTTCAGTGGTCTCTCCCGACATCACTTCTGACTGTCCCAAAGGCTGATGTGATGGTCAGTGCTTTCTCCAAATCGGAGACTGGCAAGCTGGGGTGAGTGCTGCAAGGAAAAGGTGTTGGGTGTGACTTCAGATACTTTTTAAAATTTATTTTTACATTTGATACACAATATCTTAACAGTATGAGTTCAGAGAGTTTTGTTCCTTTCTCTCTTCCCAGATTATGATGAGACCAGCATTTTTTAATTGGTTGATATTCAGAATATTCAGCTATAATATCCTTTTCCTAGTGGTTTTTGATATGCCCAGACTATTATGAAATCAGCATTTTTCAATTGATTGGCTAGTGGTATGCCCAGGATGCTGAGCCGAGCTGAGCACAGAACCATCTGCAGAAATGGCCACTTTCAGCCATACTCATTAGCTGTAAGAAATCTTTTAGCTCTCCTATGCTCACACACATTTATACTTGTACTTAAGTTCTCAAGCCTTCAAATAAATAAAGTATATTTTACAATTATTTATACCTCTATATAACTATGGTTTATTATACCATAATGTTGTGAATTCCCGGTCCAGACTCTGAAGGCAGGTCACAAGTTGAAGTCTAAACTACACAGTGTCTCAGCTATTTCTTTGTCCTATTTATTGTCTAAAAAAAAAAACAACAACAACAACAAAAAACAGCTCCTCTGAGGAAATCGTACCACTCTTTGAAGATGGGACTATACCCAAGTCCAAGAAGACTCATGCTTGTGTTTTTTCCTCTTTCTCCAGGAAACCCATTTCCTCAAAAGACAGTGAAGACACCAGCAAAGAGCCCAGCCTCTCCAAGCAGATGTTACCTGTGAACAAATACTCTGGGCGGACTTTGAGACTCTCTGCTCCCCCCACCTCCCAGTCAACCGGTGACTCCCTCCTGGCTGCTGTGAGCCCTTGACTGGCCTCTTTCCACTAGCCCCTGCCCAGGAGCACTGGCGTAGCTACCTCATGGGAACTGGCCAGCCTGAGCCCCTGCCCCCTCACCTTCCCCCTCTTCAGAGTATTTTTTTTGAAGCAGTAAAATTACAGAGATGGTTATCTGAAGGGTTGGTGGGGTGGTGGGGACAGGGAGAAGGTGAAGAAGGTTCACTGGCTGGTACCTCATATCTCAGCAGAGAAGCCAATGACAGCTACTCAGCCTTATAAAGCAGGGTTGCTTTCTACCTTCAGAGAGCTGTGTGTGGTTTGTTTTAGGCCTTGGTGCAGTGATTGAATCGAGTTCAAGAGGAGAAAACCTAGTGAACCTGTTTGGGCCTGAAGTCCTTTGTAGTTGAGGAGGTTCCTCTGAAGGTTCTCATTTCCTCAGGTCTTCTGTCCGCTCCCTCCCTTCCCTTTTATCCTGAGAAGCCACTTTCAGAAACCTTCAAACTTCCTCAGTAGACAGGGAGAGGCGATGACATGGTGAAACCGTGTCCTATCATGCTAGTCTTGGGAGCTTCACCACCTGTAGACCATTTGTCTTTACATATGTTCACCCAGCCAGTGGCCCTGGGTCTTCCTATTCTGACCTCATAACACTACTCAGTCAACCTTCTAGCCTTCTCAGTCATGGATGTTTCCTCTTCAACTCGTGGCTTTCTGAGGGTGAGAGCCAAATTGTGAATTTCCTATGGCCTCAGTGAAGGAGCCTGGATAATCCCACTTGCTGTTGTCTGTCAATGGACACAGTCTGGGGGAGAGCAGAGGGAGCTGTGATTTCCCCATAACCTAGGAAGGCTCATGATCTCTTTACTCCCTTCACTGTCTCTGATTAATGGGGTCTAGCTCACAGGTCGCTAGGGCAAGCAGAGTCTGGTGGCATAGCAGGTGGATTTCAGAAGCAGTCATTCATTGAAGGATGGGCTTCCACACACTGCTGCCTAAACTCTTGTACTCTTAACTGAATCTACCTCCCTCCCTAAGACTCAGTAAAACAGTGACTGTTCAATAAATGTTTGAATGAACTGTACAGACCGAGATCTCCAAAGACACTTGTATCTGATCCAGAAGGTCTACTTATCTCTCCCCTGGGGAAAAGTGGCACCCAGGGAATCCAAGGTGGGAAGTTTGGATCAGAAAGGTTGTTTTCACTTGAACTGTGCTCCTTCTTAACCCATACAAAGGTACTTCCTGGTTACTGCTTGCCCCCTCCCCTGCCCTGTCATCCCTTTACTTTGTTGTTCTAGCAGCGGGGTCCAACAAGAAGCCACTGGCCCATCTGGATACCCAAGTTTTCCCCTTTGCACATCAGGCAGGGAGCTCTGCTCACAGTCCTGTCCTGGGCCCTGCCATCATTCTGAGCTTTGGGAAGATGGAGACTACTCTGCTTTATGGCTCCTGGAGTTCTATGGCAAGCTGGAATGGAGCCATGGAAAAATCACTACGAGGTCTGACTAGGTTCAAGGCCACACAAGTAGGTGGCTGGGCTGGCCAGTGTGAAGGCCATGTTGACAAGTTGGGAAGAAAGCTTGGCAGAGTTCTGGGGTAGCCCAGCAGGAGAGGTCTTTGAAGCCAGCTCCTTCTTGTCCTACCTGGATGCAAAAATATCACAGTGAGCCTTGTGACAAAGACAGTAAGCAGGCTTCCTAAGAAAACTAGCCACCTGTGTAAGTAGTTTCGTTGTGGTTGGTCCTCTGGTCAAGGGCTTCGGTGTAGAGGCCTGCCTGAGCTGGCTTACTCCTTGCAATCCAGCTTCAATTCTCTGGCCTACCTTCTGAGAGTACAACCAGTCCATTTCCATCCCTGCAACTGGAGAGGAAACCAGCATTGCAGCATGATGGTAATGGAGGGGTGCAGGGGGAGGCAGTAAAGGACTTAGGAAATTAAATGATGAAAATAGAGTGTTCTTAGTAGTTTAAAACATGTTTATACATGCATTGTTTTTAATTTTCACCACATTTGAATATAGGAAAGGTGTGTTTTGCTGGGTGGGAGAAGGAATGGGGTTTATGTATTTCCCTTTTATCATTGGGAGAAAATTAAATCTTGCTTATTAAGCATTCAGCATACATACTTAGCAATGAATACCCACAGTATAAGGTGTTCAGCTGAATAAGGAATTTTGGAGAAGTAATGATATTTCTTAGAAAGTTTAAAGTTGGGGATATAGTAGGATAAATGTCAGGACATGTTAGTTGTTTTCCTAACTTACCCAGACCCTGTTTGGAGAAAGGGGAGTGCAGTACAGAGTATTTCTGGAGCACTGGAGTAAAGATTTAGGGTAGAAGACAAGGGTTGCTTATTGCTGTTTACTTCAAATTCACTCAGGATTAATAAAAAACTAAGTGACTTAGAATAAATACTAACGAAGAGGTGGTATTGTGATAGGAAAAGAGCATGGGCATTAGTGACTGACCTTGGGTTCAAATCTCAGTTCTGCTGTGTGACCTCAGCTACCACTTTTTTTAAGCCTCAGTTTTTTTATAATATGAATATACCTATACTGCCGGGTTGTGAAAGCTAAGTAACATATAGTAAAAGCACTTAGGACTTAGAGTAGCGGTTCTCAACCTGTGGGTCGCGACCCCTTTGGCAGTCGAACGACCCTTTCATAGGGGTCGCCTAAGACCATCCTGCATATCAGATATTTACATGACGATCATAACAGTAGCAACATTACAGTTATGAAGTAACAACGAAAATAATTTTATGGTTGGGTCACAACATGAGGAACTGTATTTAAAGGGCCGGAAAGTTGAGAACCACTGACTTAGAGGGTACTTACTTCATGGCCACTCCTTCTATTTGCTATCCAAACCCTGTCTTGGGAAGGGAAGGCAGGTAAGAAATGTAAAACCCCTTTCACAAGGGAAGTGAAGCAGCTGTAGAGCCAGTTTAGAGGTGAAGGAGGCCAGGATGGGGTTTAGATGCCACATCACCCCCACCTTCACCTGAGGTACACAAAATGCAAATTCTCTGGGTAAGGAAGCATATTAAGCATTAGAAATAAGTGAATTAAATGACATTATTATCTTACCCCAAGATAAGCTTTGATAAGAAGGAGAGCAAGGGAGCAATGGATGTCTGGTGGCTGGGACGGGGAGGAGCATAGTAAAGAAAATAGAGACCTTGAACTGGAGCTGGCGCCAAAGAAGAGACACACCTACCCAACAGCTCTGCCAAGGGACAGTTGTCATTGCAGGTTAATTCTTATGGTTACAAGCTATTTAGTCACCAGAGCCAAAGGACATACCTGATTGCCCCAGGGGCAATACAGCAGTGGGCCAGTGAAGGAGGTTGACAATTTGGGTACACGGTACATTCCACTGCCTCATCAGTTGAATTAGGCAGCTAGGAGACCTCCCCTCCTGGCTTCCTCTGGATTTGTCCTTTAAGACTAAGGCTCAGCTGTATACTGTTCCAATGCCCCAACTTCTTTGAGGCTTAGAAACATTGACGATTTTCAGATATGTGGCTAAGGATGCTCCATTTCATCTCACTTGAGATTCTGATCCAGCCCTTAGACAACCCTTGGCCTCTTAGATTTCCCTCCCCCTAGAGTTTGCACCCTATTGATGCCAAGGGTCATTTGAATTGACCTTTCATCAGCGTTGGAGCAATGAAAGCTGCAAGTTGATCTTGGCAAATCTCTCATTAGTGAAACAATACAAGAAGTGTCAGCAAAGGGTAGTTATTAAAACCCATTTGTACCTTTATTATAATAGATTGAGACACATGGAATGCTAGAGACTGTATAGCAAAAGCCCACACAATTTTGAAAGGATATTTAAGTTTCAATTAGTAAAGTGGGGAGAACAAAGCCTACTTTATAGGGTAGTTAGGAGAGGTGCCTGATATATATTGCAGATTTAAAATATATTCTAAAACAGACAAAATTAGTACCACCGAAAACATTTCTTCATAAAGAAATAACAGCATGTTACTATTACACAACTTTGATAAAATATATTTTGATTCTGTCCATGGGATATCGAACTTGCAGATTTAATCAAGGTAATTAGCTTTGAAAGGTTGGAACCCCAACATTTGTTTTCAGGGAAATGCAATTAAAACTATAATGACACAGGTTCGGATATTTGGTGTACTACCATCTGTGGGATTATCTCTAAATCAGAATCCACCAAGGCAGAATGATAGGGCAGTGACATGAGTCCTGAGCAAAGAGCCTCCAGAAAAGCAGCTGTGCAGAAAAGGGGGCTGCCCCCTCACATCTCATGCAATGCATGTTTCTTGGGGAACCTGGTGCTAAGTGAAAGAATCCAGAAACATGATTGTATATTTTGTAATTCCATTTATATAACATTCTGGAAAAGGCAAACTGACCAAAAGCACATCAGTGGTTGCCAGGGATTATATGAGGGAGGGAATTGGCTATAAAGGGGTGCATTGGAAATATTCTATATCTTGACTGTGCATTTGTCCAAACTCATTAAATTGTACACTTAAGATGGATGAGTTTTATTATATGCAGGTAAATAGATTTGACTTTTAAAAAAGGACAAAGTATCATTTCATGATGCATGAAAATTAAAACCACAATGAGATAACACTAGAATAGTTAAAAAGGCAGCCAAGACCAAATGTTGGAGAGGATGTGCAGTAAATGAGACTTTTACATATGGCTGGTGGCTGAGAGTAAAATGTTGCAATTGCTATGGAACACTAGAAGTTTATTATGAGTTAACATATTTACCTATGACTCAGCAATTCCATTTTTAGGTATCCTACCCCCACTCCCTGGCAAATGAAATCAGATGTTCACCAAAAACATTTATTGTGGCTTTATTCATAATAAAAAAAATTGGAAACAATTCAATGCCTCTCAACAGATAAACTAGTTTGGAATGCTACTCAGCAATAAAAAGAAACTCTAGCCTTACAAAAAATGTTGGCCATACAAGAATATTCAAGGGACTTCTTTAAACTGAAAACAAGCTGGTGCTGAACTGCCTGCCTCTGCACTGAACTGTTCTGCCTGTGCTGTGTTTCTGCCATCTGAGCCAGCTCTTATAAAGGAGTTCCTAGAATCCTACTTCAACCAATAGGACTGAGGCTTTCCCTGTCCAGTTGGAGCTATGCAGCTCTGACCAAGCAGAGTGGCTCTATTCTGACCAATCAGACAGTGCCTTGTGGACCAAACAAACTTCAAAGATTTGGAGTCCTCATTTACATGAGGATGGGCCAATCAGAGACTAGGGGTGAGGACCCTGTCCATGTAAGGCAGCTCCCCTTGACTGTTAGCACATCACTTCCCTTCCCACAGATCCTTGGAAGACTGTCTTCCTGGCTGAGCTGAAACACCAAAGATATCTCTGGCCCCAGAGCTGATCTACAGCCATGCTGTTTTCACAGATGTGCTGTATCACAGTTGAGCTGGTTTGCACTGAATAAAGTTTCCTTCACCAAATCCCAAATTGGGGATTCCTTTTGGTGTTGAATTGGCAACCATATTTGACAAAGGGATCAACCTAGCAAGAAGATAAAACATTTATAAATATATATGCACCCAACATAGGAGTACCAAAATACAGGGTGTCCCCCAAAAATGTATACACACTTTAACAGTTGACAGCTCAATTTTGAAAATGAAATGTATTTTAATAAACACTGCCTTTATTCAAAGTGTGTATATAATTTGGGATATATATATATAGTAAATATTGACACCAAAAGGAGAAATTGACAGCAATACAGTAAAATCCCACTTAGATCAATGGGTAGATTATTCAGACAGAAAATTAATAAGGAAACATTGAAATGGCACATTAAGAAATCAAGCCTTGAAGACACAGACCTGATGGAATTATATATAGAGAACATTCTGCCCCAAAACAGCTGGACATCTTTCTCAAGTGCACATAGAACATTGTTTAGGATAGTGCACATTAGGCCACAAAACCACAAAACAAGTCCCAATAAATTGAGCATTTGCTGTAAACTTAACTTTCAGCCTTTTGACAAAGTTGATTCTGACAGTCCCAATGTTTCTGTGTGGGGATGGGCATTTGGACCTGCCTACTCCACCACTTTACTGACATCCCCTATCTTTTTAAATATATATATACTAGAGGCTTATTGCAGGAAGATTTCTACAAGACTAGGGCTTCCTTGGGCCTATTCCTACAAGAATAGGGCTTCCTGTGGCCTGAGCGAAGCAGAGAAGAGAGCTTCACTCCACTGCCCTGCTTGCTTCCCTCCCATCTCCACCACCCTGCTTACTTCCCTCCTGTCTCCGCTCACCCGCTTGCTTCTCCGCAGCTTTGCTTCTTTCTACGCTGTCTTCAGTCTTCGCTCCCCACGCCTGTGTATGCAAATTAACCGCCCTATTTGTTGGGTTAATTTGCATACTCTCTGATTGGCTGGTTGGCGTAGTGGAGGGACGGTCAATTTGTATGTTTCTCTTTTATTAGCATGTGTGTGTGTGTGTGTGTGTGTGTGTGTGTGTATGTATATATATATGTTTTTATTGATTTTTAGAGAGAGAGGAAGGGAGAGGGATAGAGAGTTAGAAACATTGATGATAGAGAAACATCGATCAGCCGCCTCCTGCATGCTCCCCCCCGCACCCGGGGATCAAGCCCACAACCTGGGCATGTACCCTAACTGGGGATCAAACCAGTGATCTCTTGGTTCCTGAATGGAAGTGCAACTGCTGAGCCACACCAGCCGGGCCTCTCTGTCTTTTCAATGTAAAGTTTTAATTGTTATATAGCATATATAAAGGTGTACAAATCATAATTGTACAGTTTGTTTGATGAACTTTTATGATGTCTGCAAAGCCATGAAACCAGCGCTCAGAACAATAAACAGCTATAATCAGAACCCAGAAGCCCCCTTGTGCTCCCTTCCAATTGCTAATCACTGCCTTCCCATTCAAGAGAAACCATGATCTTCACTTCCAGCACCACGCATTACTTTCATCTGTTTTTAAACTTTATGTAAGTGAAATCATGCAATATGTTATATTTTGCACGATTATCAGTCAGTATTTTTCTAATGAAATTCACTTGTATGTAGTTGCAGTTCATTCTCATCATTGTATGCACTTCCATTGTATGAATATATTACAATTTACTATTTATTCTAAAGTCACGAGTTATTTGAGTGCTTTTTAGTTAGGGACTATCACAAATAGTATTACTAAGAACATTATTAGACACATTTTGGTGAGCATGTATATGTACACATTTCTGTTGGACTTGTATCTAGGAGTGCAATTATAGCATCATTGGGTGGGCACAGCTTTCATAAATATGGCTAGATTTCCATAGTACTCATAGCAGCTTACACTTTATTTTTCATCTGATGAGATATTTTTTTAAAGACATTTTTATTGATTTCAGAGAGGAAGGGAGAAAGATAGAAATATCGATGATGAGAGAGAATCATTGATCAGCTAGCAGCTTACACTTTACTAGCAGTGTATAAAGGTTCCAGTTGAAGAGGCAACACGAGTATTTGTAATTTCAGTGTTTCTCATTTTATTCACTTATATGTGTAATTTTACTCATTCTGGTGGAAGCATAGGGTTATCTTGTAGTTTTACATTGCATTTCCCTGATAGCTAGTGTGGGAGACTGTTTATTCCCAATGGTGGCTGCAGCAGTTTCTTTCAACACACATGCAGTTCTACAACTGACCTTGCCACTTTTCATTTCAGGCTATTTTAATTTTTTACTGCTGGGATGAAGAATACAGAAATAGATCCAAATACGTATTAGAATTGAAGAAAAGATATATATGGTATTGCAAATCTCTGGGGAAGCATTGTGTGGAAGAGTTGGCCACACCCTCTCATCCCAATCAGAGGATAATTGTTGACTTGAAAGACTTTAATGAAGGCAGGTACCTTTCCCTGGGTATAGTCATTAAGAGCTAATGCAGACCTGTGATGCAGCAGATCTCATGCATACCCAAGAAAAACAGAAGAGAAAGTAGCTGCTTTGCTCTGCAGTAAAATAACATTCACTGATTCATTGTGGGTTGTACAGTCTTAAAGGGAAGAAAATAATAATTTATCTAGGAGCAGATGTTTAGGTCAACCAATAGAGGAACCAAATCAGCTGCCTGGCCACCATTCTCATGGGTGCAAATATTGTCAATAAAACAGGAACTGAAGGTTCTTCCTTCATTGTCTCCCAGGAACTCTCACCCCCACCCCCCTCTGCACCTATGGGACCATTGGCTGAAACCCAGGATTTGGACTCAGAAACTAGGACTCAGAATCTTATCTGAAGAAAGGAATCCAGGGCCCTTGGGGGAAAGAAGTGGAGCTTTCCTGAGGAAGGGAAAGTGGAGTTTCCCACTTTAAGACTTAGAAGAAGAGAATGCAAGAGGGACAATGAACAAACTATCGTGCTGGAGAACCCAGTTAGAAAGCTGATGGAAAAGCCTCTGAAGTACAAGGTCATTAAGGTCTAAGCGTTCAGCTGCCTACCTTGTGGAACTTGAGTAGGTGAGATTTAGCATGTTTGATTCTCCTATGTAGTGAATCCCCCTGGAAATGTCCTAATCTCTTGCTAAAGGAACATGTGCTTTCTGATATGTTGGTCGTGTGAACACTAAAGAGACAGAGTGGCAGTGGAAGTGTCTGTTCTTGTCACCTCCTCCTGGCCGCCAGTGAAGATGGAAGTCATCCTAGTGTAGACTGTGACTCTGAGCTCCAGGTGGTTATTGCAGTATAAGAGGATGACACAGAGCCAGCTCCTGAAAGTTACATGGCACCAAAGGAATGTCCTGGAGGGAAATGGAAGATCAAATCTTCTGCTGTGTTCTGTAATTTAAAGAATGCTGTTCCCAGATAGGAGATGAGGGCATCCAGAAATCTCCTGAGCTATTATTTAATAAATGATGTTGGAATAATTAGAATATGTTAAGATTCTAGGACACACCAAAACCAAAAATTAAGTCCACATGGATTGAATTGTTAACTTTTAAAAAAATACAGCATGTAAAAATGAAACTATCAAATGTAGGGTAAAATATAGGAGGTCCCCTCCCTCCCGCTCCCAATAATTTTGGGGCATTCCAAAGCAAGATATGAAAACCAGATGTTATAAAAGGAAGAAATGTCAGACTAAATCACACAGATATTAAGAAAAGATACCCTAAATACAGTCAAGATACAGGGAACACACACCACCAGGAGAAAATACTTGTAATATATATTTATAAAAATACTTGTAGCCCTCGCTGGTTTGGCTCAGTGTATAGAGCATCAGCCTGTGGACTGAAGTGTCCAGGTTTGATTCCAGTCAAGGGCACATGCCCAGGTTGCAGGCTCAATCCCCAGTAGGAGGCATGCAGGAGGCAGCTGATCAATGATTCTCTCTCATCATTGATGTTTCTATCTCTCCCTCTGCCTTTCTCTCTGAAATCAATAATTTAAAAAAAGTTAAAATTATATATATATATATATATATGTATATATATATATATATATATAT